GGTATGTAAGTCCTCATTTTGTTTTAAAATATGCCAATGTCTTTTCAAAAATTTTTTAAAAGAATGGCTCTGAGAGTTAAAATCACAAATAAAGGAAACTCTTTCTTCTTGATTACTATTATCTCTCTTTTTATAAGTTAACAGTTCTTCTCTGGGTCTATTACATACTGCTTTAAATTGTTTCTCTATACTTTCTTTCTCATATCCTTTCTGATAAAACTGTTTTTTTAGAACTTCAGATTGATTTAAAAAAGTGTCTTCTTCCATACAGTTTCTCTTAAGTCTTGTAAATTGCCCTTTGGGGATATTAGAAAGCCAAGGTTTAAAATGACAGCTGTCGCAGTCAATATAACTGTTGACGTCGACAGTTTTAAAATAAGTGCTCGTCATAATCTTATCATTTTTAATAAAAATCCTAAGGTCTAAAAAATGGACTTCTTGATTACTGATTTCAGAGGTAAGTTTAATACCCCAGGAATTAGTATTAAGATATATCAAAAATTCATTAAGAGAAGGCAAGTCCCCCCTCCAAATAAAGAAAATGTCAATCTAAGCCTTGGAGTGCCTGGACTTTTTTCTTTCTTCAGTGACTAGAAACCACACATTTGTATGTAATTTACAATATCAAGTCACTTTTATAAACAGTTCACTCGTTGCCTCTTTAGCGTACTCCTCTTTTACATACTATGTGTTAATGGACTAGCCTCTGCCTCTTAGTACATGTTCAGCCTCTAAGACCAGTGTTAGCTAAGTTGCTGAGAGACAGCACATGTATGCCTATCTGATTGTCTTTTTTATTGTATAATGGTTTATTTAAAATCTCCTCTTGGGCAGAGAAACCATTTTATTCCAGCTTGAATATACTCTGCAACTGTCTAGTTAAACCTGCATTTAGCATTCACGGACTGTATCCTCTCCCTGGTGCTTTTCATACTAGAGATGTCTTCTACCGTTATTTAATTGCTTTGAAGAGTTAACCTGGATGTACTTACATCCCTATAGTGTGCCTGCTTTGTATCAAACACTCTTCTTCACTACACAGTATTTTGTTACCTAGTGCTGTGAGGTGGTAGGCTATGAGGAAAGACTGTCTCTTGCACAGCAGAAGAGGTCTGGATAGTAATAGGGAATAATTAAAATTTGTAAGAGAAGAGGGATTCTAATATGATCACAATGCATCTTTTCCTATTTGTAGTTAGATATTATAAGAGTAACTTTAAACCAGTTAACCTTTTCCAGATCTGTTTTAATCTTCTTTGCATTTTTGTAATATAGTCATTGTGAAACATGGTACAATTGTATTATGACAAGCACTGGAGACGTTTTGTTTGACATTGATGCAAAAGTTGTTGTTATGAAGTATAAGAATAAAGCAATTGATCTCTAGCAGTTTGCAGAAGATGTTTGTGTACAGGTTATATTTCTTTAATTGATCCAGATATGTACTTACTCTTACAGTGCTAAAGAAATGATTCTCATAAAAAATAGTTTCGTCATTCTAAGTGGCTTTCAGCCAGCTTTTAAAATGAGAGTTGGTTGAGATTTTAAAAGGAAAGAAGAGACTAACAGATGAGGAGCTGCTAGTGTAAAAAAGTGCTGAGGCAAAAAAAAAAGATAATTATGCTTAAATTTCACAAAACTACAAAAGCAGAAAATTCACATAAAATATATAGGTGTACCATATTTATCACAAAAAAAAACCCCTTTAACATCTTGAACATACTGAATATTTTAATTTACTATTGCTTTTAAATGTTATAATACATTTTCCATACATGAAATGAACCCACTTAACCTTTTGACTTTAGGTTAGACTTCATCATCTGGGTGAGGGAACAAAAGTTAGGGACTGTGCATGATAGCTTAAAATAAATTTAAAAAAAATAATTGCAGATGTCAGTTTCAAAGATTTCAATTTAAAATTGAGAAAATGTAAAGCAAAACTATTAAATGTTAAAACATTTGTTCGTGGTTTTCTTTATTTTCCATGTGATCTGTTAAAAAGGCTTTGATGTCACAGAGTAAAAAAGCTGTTCTTACTTTGTGTAATATTACAGCAAGATGTTCCCTTGTTTGTTCAAAGAGAGGACTTGTTAAAAGAAGAAACAAAAAACAGCATGTTATTTTTGTGCGCAAATTAATGAACAGATGAATAGCCAGATACAAGAAACGTGAGCCAGTAAAGAATTCAGTATTTACTAATATAAGATTATAATTTGGCAGAAATCCTACTTAATTAATAAAAAATCTTAATAAACAACTGCAGCTCATAAAATAATTGAATTAAAATCATATGTATGATCTTTTATTTTTGTACAACCTAGAAATGTTAAGGGGAAGCCATTGCACATTGTATCTCAGTTATTTACTTATGTGATAATTGTGGGGAATTCAAAGTTAATTTCATATTAAAGGCCAAAATAGCTGAATTAAGGAAATTAACCACATCAGCTATGATTTTCTAATTTAGTTATTTTGGTCAAAATTTGAAATTAACTTTGAATTTCCCACAATTCTCACTTTATTAAATAATATATGTTGGGAGACTGCAGATATTTATGGGGGGCAGGGGGTTGGTCCCACATAGCCGTTGAAAGGAATACTCCAAGCATTATACTACTACAGCTCTAAGTCTATTGATAAAAAAAAATTACACTGATAAGTCCAACACAAGTAGTTACTCATGGAAGTACAACCCCAACAAGTTAGTTAACATCAAAATATTCTCTAAAACATATATAGAAGATGTTATTACCAACAAGATCCTATACATAATAAAAACTGCATTGCTAAACTCCCACTTGATATATTTTTAAGTATTTATTCATAGATATGATATTTCTTAGAAATAACTTTTTCCTATTAAACAGGGTCAGAGGTAAATATTCAATTGAAGTACTAATGAGCAGTATCATTGGACCTAAAAACAAGTACTTTTCAAATTATTACAGTGACATAATGAGTAGGTTATCATGCAAACAAGTGCATATAAAAGCAATTAAAATGAACCATAGCATAGGGAATTATAACTAAATAAATGAAATCCTTGTACTTGAGCTTACATATAGCCGCAACCAAATGACTAATTAAATGAATTTATCATATTTGTCTTATACAAAGCAACGAACATCGAGCACAGAAATTAAACCATTTGGGATCTGAGATGCGAGATAGAAGATCCCTTTGGTCACTGAGTAATTTAACAATTTAATAATGTCCCTTCCTTTTGTTATTAAGAAAATCTCTTAAAATGCCTTGAAATTAGACATGATATTATTATCTAATTTACCTAAGTGCCTGAAATGTTTGTTTCTGATTCCTTGTCTATGATAATTAATTTTCAAATATAATGACTGAACTGCCACCACTTTTTCGAAGAAATACGGTATGAATTCACTCCTTTCCAATGTAAAGGCTTGCAGAAATACTAGTCTAGGAAATAATGACATTAGAAGATATAAAAATATCAACACACTTCCAAGATAATAAAGATACTTTAATTTTTTTGTTTATGTTGTTTTTGAAGATAGAGTAATTACTCCACTATTTGGAAAATATTTTATCTTATCATCACACAACACCAATTTATTGGTTATAAGATAAACTAATGAGTTGATGTTTCTTTCCAGAAGATGCTATTACCTCTACGTTAGAGTGTATGTATCCTTTTATGTTCATTTCCATCCTTAAAATGCTTCAATATGTTTAAAAATCCTCTGCCTAAGATGTTTATCTGTTATATGTCAAGATGTGAGAATAATTGTAAAGCATTATTTGGAAAGATCTAAAAATCAATTGATCATAGCAATTTCTTGTTGCTTAATCACAAGCTTGAGAGTTAACTTTAATCATAGCCTTTTCAGAAACCATTACACTAAATGAAATGGCTCCTTTACAAAAATTCTATCATGTGTACATTTTGTGAAATAAAAAAAATACTATAACACAGGCTTGACAGGAAAAGGCGATTGTGATTGCTATATAACTATGCAAATATATTCTACCATTTTCAAGGTAAACACAAAACGTGCTATTGAATGTTGAAGACTAAAATGTATCTGGTATTATGAAAAATATATAGACATATAAGTAAATGTGCCAAACTTTTTAGGTCTTTTGATGAAATAAAAGGCTATTTTCAGCACTTAAAATTTTTTCTTTACATATATACCATTATTGCTGGAAGTTACACTTAAAATCGAAACCAGTTTGTATATATATACTCTTTCTTCTGTCTTATATATGGTATAAATTGCTCCACTCACTAGCACACATTACTTAAAAATTATGTGTTCAGTATTTTACACTGGCTATCGTTCGACTGCAGCTTTTCTTTTTGCTGCATTTTTTTTCCTTGCACCAAGTGGAGGACATTCCTAGTGACAAAAAAAGGTGGAACCAGGGGGCGGGGCCTGACCGCCGATGGGATCAGATGTGCTCTGCCTGAGCTCCCGCTCTGGGGCCAAAATCGGAGCAAACTGGGTGCCACAACGGTGACTACTCTGACCCCCAACCACGGGGGTACACAGGGATAAAGCCCAAGACTCTGCCCAGCACTGACAGAAACCCGACAAGGGCCCAGATCTCGCTGGAGCTTGAGCCGGGATGAGACGGCCGCTCTCCCGGGTCTCCGGCCGGCTTCTCGCTCCCATCCCGGTCTGCAAGGGCACCACACACCACCCTAAGCTGGGCCCTAACAACTGCCCTGGTGCGTGAAATCCACTGGGCAAAGCTCCACAAGATGGCCGCTGCACGCCAGCCATGTGCGCAAAAAGCCTGTAAAATCGAACTGCTTCAGGAGAAGCACACCCAGCACCATTAGACCACCATGGCAGCCCGCCCCAGGGCTATGCTGGCGGACTACACTTGGCAAATCAAGGTACAGGCCAGGGGCATCAATCAAGCAGGGAGAAATAGGGCACACACAAAGCGGAACCCCACTGACCAAACCTTATAAAGCATTCCCCCAGAGACAATAGACCCTAGAACTACCTGCCCTGATGAAGCAAGCCACTCACCCTCCACCCAACCAGAAGCAACCTATACCACCAGCCTCGACCTATGCCACTATAACCACCACCACAGACCAACGAAAAGGCGCAGGAAGACGCCACCACGCCACCAGGGCACAAGAGGCGCCTACCAAGCACCGGAGAGGGCTGACACTACAGACGGGGAACCCGGGGGCTGCACCTCGAGATACCAGCCTTGTTTCACGATGGCGCTGGGACACGCGCTTGCTGGGCACACACAACGAGAAGCTCAAATGAACTAACACGATTCAGATGGGCTAGTCTCAGGACTTCACGCTTAGGGTTTGACCTGCTTACCCAACTGACCACGACTGGAAATACACACAGATGGTTAAGCTTAACATGTTCACTGCATGCCATTCTACTCTCTCATTGTATAAGCACCCTAACTAAACTACTAATCTCATAAAAGCGACTGTACACATGCTTTAGTTTAACATAGTGACTCCACAGTGACACAGAAAATATCTTGATAATTAAGTGACGACACTCTACATAAACACTTTTTTTAAGCCACTGTTATTAATCAACAAAATAATTCATTATGACAAACAAAGTTACCCAGCTTGTATTACTAACCATAAATTGTGCATATAACCTGAATGCTATACAGCAGTTAACGAATATGTGTTTTTTTTGTTTTTTTTCAACTGTTTGCAAATGCTGCTGTGGCATTGTTGACATACGAATGTTATTTCATGCACAGCAAAAATAAAGAATTAAAAAAAAAAACGAATGGAGAAGAAACTGTTTTTTTTTTTATTATTTGGGTGGGGAATAATAAGCAGCTTAGTTTTCCATGATGAACAAGACGTGTCCAATGATCTCCTATCTCCAATGTAAAGGTGGAAAAAAAACTAAAGCAGAGTAGGCACCTGCTTACTCTGATGACATGAATGTGTTGTATTCAGAGGGGACTCAGAGGCAGACACCGTATGCATCACCGTAATGCCAGTGGCCAGTTTAATACATCACTGCTAAACAGAGCACATGGCAGAAGTGCTGGAATACCATGAAGATGACAACACTCCCTCTGGACCCCAGAAAAAGGATCCCAACTAGACCATAGGGCAAAGATCCACACCAGCTCTCCTAATGGTAGGGAGGCTGGATGGACCTAAATAAAAAAAATACACAAATAATTATTTGTGATTGTGTGTGAGAAAATGTGTATGTGTTTGTCAGTGTGAGTCAAATCAGTGAAAGTGTGTGTCAATGAGAGTGGCTGTCAGTGTTTAAAATCAGTGAGAGTGTGTCTGTCAGTGAATGTGGGTGTCAGTGTCCTCTGCATGTAAATATGTGTGTCTCTGAGACAGAGAAAGATCAACCATAAAATCTATAGAAGGATGAGTCCATGGTATAGAGGGTATAGCCATGTAATACATACAGGATAATGCATTTTGATCTATGTATGGAAAGTGGGCCACCAAAAGTCACACAACACCAGATGGACATTTTTGTTAATACTTACATAACCTTACCTTTAAGTACCATGCAAATAATCAAAGACATTGTGTGACGAGACCAATCTCGCCACATTGCATTGGAGAAGCCTGGTTGCTCACTTGTTGCCTTTGGATTATGGCCCCATATTAAAAGGCTTGATTGTCCCCTGCAAAGACATGAAAGCTGGGTCATTTGGTGCTTGCCCTGTTTGAGCGGTGATACCCCAGATAGCTATGCCATGGAGCCCATTCGTATAATGAAAGACTATGGGAAAGACTTTGGCTCCATGGCAATTGAACTGTATGTGTGTGCTCTGAGCGCCATTCAGTAATAATGTGCGCTCAGATCTGAGCTATCTGGGGATATGTTGAATGTACCTGTTTTGTGCAATGGCTGCACAGTTATATGTTTTTATGTGTTTTATTGTCTTTTGCTGCCATGTGTTCAATGGCGTTTTGCCTCTGTCCTTGGAGATAATTGGATTACTTCCCAATTATCTCCAGGATAGAAGATTCTGTGGAACTGGTTTTGGGCAGAAAAGCCATGCTTCCTTTGGTCATAAAGGACTACGATCTATCTTTTGAACCACTGGACCAATTTGTATGATTTTGACGTATGTTTGTATTTGGAGTATGCTGATTCTGAAAATGTAAGTATATGTGAATATGATGCATACTTTTCAAGTTATGAATAATGTGGAAAAATTACCCATTGTGTAAGGTAATTGTATCACAGGCAGAGGGGAGGATTTTGTGTGGGAGTGTCTGAATGTATTGTATGTGTTTATTGGTTGTGTTCCAAAACCCTGTGGGTGGTACTAATGTGTATATAAGAACAATAAACCCACAGCTCTGTTCACTGCTTGACCCTCAACACAGAGCTTTGTCTCGTTCCTGGGGGGATTTATTGTATGCTGTTCCAGTTCGACTGCAAGGAGTGTAAACCTATTCGTATGGTTTTTCCTATTCGGCTGTTTACGGCATTCGTATGGTTTCCTGTTCGGCGGATTGGTGTTCTGCAGTAGCTGTGCCTGTGTCTCTGGAAGGGAAGATCTACTAAACTGCGGTTTAACCCTTTTATGCCTGCGGGTGCCGTTACACATTGTTTTTTTCCTAGTGAGGAACAAGCAGTTTCCCAAGGGGTAATTCAGAAGGTGATTGAGCCCTTAGAATGAGATAGGGCAGTTCTTGTCAGATACACTATTTTTTCTGGTGGAATAACTGGTGACCATTTAAATCATCAGACTCGGTATATAGAAATGGTCAGAGGTACACAGAAATGAGAAGCAAGCCATGGTCAGGCTTACAGAGATTAACAATGGTCAATTAAGCCAAGGTCAGAAAATTGAATAATACATTAATGTATAAAGCACTCTTGGATGAACAGAAACCACAACAGGGCAAGTAAACAAGGACAACCAGGGAGTATATATACCCTGTACTGGGTTGTGTTTGATGTGTACACATCAAGATGCGTCAGAAAGACTGCCATTATAAAAGGAGACCAATGGGATGGTTCCATATCATATATGATGTCATAATGAGGCACCGGAAAGCTGGGTGTGCATCAGAACACAGAAGAGATGATGTCCTGATGAAAGCTCCCAAGTGGAGCTGAAACGTCGACTTATTGAGTAAAGAAAAATACTTTTTTACAAACCCTGGGAGTGCTGATTATTTTGGTTCTATGTCTAATAGTGCAATCGAGCACCGCGTCTGAATCTTAATAATAGAGTAGGAGTGCTGGGCATTTTTTTCTTTTATATATATATATATACATATATACATATATATATATATATATATATATATATATAAGGATTTTTTATGTAAAAAAATTAAAAAAAGCCTTGCACTCCTACTTAGTTATTTGACCCGGTGCTTCTTTCACACTAAATGTATGAAAGAAAAAAAATCAGCACTCCCAGGTAGATTTCTTAGGAACTTCTTTTACTAAAAAGTGTAACAGTCAATGTTTCAGTTCATTCAGGAACTTTCATCAGGACAACCACAAGTGATATACTACAAACATAGACGTGCGCAGCCTATTGCATTAGGGTGTGTACCCTAAAGCACAAGCACACGCCGCGTATATATATATATGTATATAAAAAATCCAATAGATCTTGCACTCCACCAATTCCAAATTAAATGCCCGGTGCTTATCAGCCGAAAATATAAAAATAGTTATCAATGATAGCACTCAACAGTCAACGTTTCTGCTTAATCCCCTCAAGCTGACGAAAGCTTGAGGGGATCAAGCAGAAACGTTGACTGTACTGTTTTAGTGGAGGTAATAAAAGTTAAATTTTATTTATAGTCCTTGGAGTGCTATCATTGATAACTATTTTTATGTATGGGCCACCCTCGCCCCTATATATATATATATACACACATATATACACACATATACACTGATGTGTGTGTGTGTGTGCTGTGAGAGGGTGCTATTAGTGTGAAGTGTGTGTGAGGGTGCTGGTAGTGTGCCATGTGGGTGAGGGTGTTTGTGTGTGTGTGTGTGTGTGTGCGCGCTTGTGAGGGTGCTGTTAATGTACTGTGTGTGAGGGTGCTGTTTGTGTGTGAGGGTGCTGTTTGTGTGTGTGTGCGCTTGTGAGGGTGCTGTTAATGTACTGTGTGTGAGGGTGCTATTTGTGTGTGAGGGTACTGGTAGTGTGCTGTGTGTGTGTTTCTTAGGGTCCTGTTAGTGTGCTGTGTGAGGGTGCTGTTTGTGTTTGTGAGGGTACTGTTAGTGTGCTGTGTGTGTGCTGTGTGTGTGTGAAGGTGCTGTTTGTGTGCTGTGTGTGAGGGTGCTGTGTGTGTTTGTGAGGGTGCTGTGTGTGTGGGTGCTGTATGTGTGTGTGGGTGCTGTGTGTGTGTGTGTGGGTGCTGTGTGCTGTATGTGTGTGTGTGCTGTATGTGTGTGCGCTGTGTGTGCGCTGCATGTGTGTGTGCTGTATGTGTGTGTGTGCTGTATGTTTGGGTGATTTGTGGGGGTGGAGGTGGGGGCAGATCATTTAATAAATATCCCCCCTCCCTTCTTACCTTTTGTATGGAGGGGGACCATGCTGCTGCCTTCCCTGGTGGTCCAGTGGAGGTAGGGGCATATTACTTAATATCCTGTGATCTCCCCTGCCAGTCTCACTCCATAGGCGTACCGCAAGGATTAGGGTGTGCCTAGGCACACCCGGCACACCCCGTGCACACACCTATGACTACAAAATAAAAATTTAAATAAGGCAGAAAATCAATTACTCACATTGCAGCTGTAGGGTGGGCTGGCATTACGGCTCCATGAGCACAGCACCGGATACTGAAATCAGATACCTGCATGATAAGTAATTGAATCATTTTCAGTGAAGTAATCTATTACCATAGAAACCGGGACGCGGATGCGCCAATCAATGCTCCTGTGCTGTCAAAGGTCTAATTGAGGCATCCTTCATCTCCTAGGAGATCTCAGCACCCACGTGGTGCCAGCTCGCTTCCAGACCACCGCTTGTACATTACAAGCCAGGAGCTTTATACCGCCCACCCTAGCAGTCACTGTGCCAGAGAAACTTAAATTGATGCAATGTTAGACTGACAGTACATCTGAAACAGTATCTTTATATCCTGGCTGTTTCTCGCTTATGCACATGGTTCACATCAAAATTTGTGAACCTCCTCAAAACTTATAGAGTCAATAGCTTTGAAGCATATTTATAAGGAAGATTTTTACACACTCTAATCTACTTGTGACGAAATGCCTTTTGTCCCTGGATTGTTA